CTTTGACAGAAAAAGAAGGGTTAGAAAGTGGAACGTCAACACTGCTGGGAATTCAAAAGCTAACCGCGAGTACCCCCAGCTCGTCATAATTCATAACTCAAATAAACACCTGTCATCCTCTCACAACCAACAAGGATTTGCTCTCACCCCATCTGCGCTAATTTTGTCTTCATAAGCATCAACAGGCCGGGTGACGGCCGTAAACGCGCTCACACGCAGATAAACAGCATTAGGTCGGGGTGTCCGCGCGGCGTCTGACACACCCAGCGGTCCGGCCCCGTCGGGTCATCTCGGCTCAGCCCGCCGCATCTGACGGTCCCGCCGCTCACTTCGCGCCGCCTAATCGCATTACAGGGAGTACGGCTGGTAGCGGCGGTGGTCCGGGCGGCGGCGGCGGCGGGGGGGGGGGGGGGCGGCGGACACTGTCCGACATTGGTCATCCGTCCGGGCGCCAGTCACCGCACATAAACCAATTGCAATTACTGTCTGTGGCCGGCGTCTGGAAGACTACTGCGGGTGACAGGCGGCAGACAGCGGCGACGCTACAGGCTGTCAGATCAGGGCACGGTCACCAGGCAGTTGACAGATCTGGGAACTGCACTGACGCCAGGCGGCTGTCAGCTATGGGAAATGCACTGTCTCCAGGCAAGCTCATACAGACCTATCGCCAAGCCCTGGTATATCCTTGCGCTCTGCTTTAACCCATTCGACCCCGCTCTCTTTCTCCTCCCACATCATCCGATTTTCCCAGCTAGGCTTTCGTCCACACCTTACCATCCCTTCTCTGCCCCTTTCCGGTTCATCTCTATCCCCGGCCCCCTTGTTACAGTTTGTCCTGGCGAGCGTCGCTTTAGAACGTCACCGTCCTCGCGGCGGGCGGTCACAGGTGGGATCGAGTGGGTGCGACCGTAAGGTAGAACACTACAGCGATAATAAACACATTAGACACGGCGCTACTGGGACGAAGGGAAGGCGAAATAGTGGCAGTGATGTGGTGGCGGTCGTGGGACGATGACAATAAAGCTGGTGGGACGGTGGCGATGGCAAAGGCGGTGGTACAGTCCACAGCAGAAGTAATGTGGGGTTTCAGTCATGGGTATGTTCTGCTTCTGAAGCTTAGGAACGATTAGCCAGACTACAATGAAACTTTTAATGTAGCTTATATGTATCGTCACCCTTGCAGCTGCAACTTTAGCTATTGACATCTTCTTTTCGATCACTTCACATTAAACAATCGCCAGTCAAAGCCAATCGTTGAGATTGGTAAAACCCTACATTACTTTAGCGGTGGGCTGTACGGTGATAAAAATGGCGATGGCGGGGCAGGGCGAACGTTGACGATGAAGATGGTTGCACGATTACGATGGCGATGGATGATGGCGGTGGTGGGATAATGACTGTATGGCAGTGACAGTCCCTGTCAGCGGACGGGGAGAAGAAAATTGACAGTGCGTATTGCGCGTTCCTGGACTGTCGTGTCGACATGCGGTGGCCGCCAGAGCCAGAGCCAATCCGACGTGGATCTGTGTTTATGGACGCCGCAGGGATTTGTCACTGACATAGGCGGCAGGGATTTGTCAGTGACATTGACGGCAGATTGTCCGCCGGGGATCACTGGGAGTTGTCGGAACACATCCCATCGGTGGAGGTTGGAGCACAATGACCAGCGAGCAAACACCACACGCGGGCGGCACGGGAGTCGGCAGCGGGCTCAAGCCCCAATTATGCCCAAGTGGAACGACGGAGAGTGTTTTCATACATGTCTGGAAAGGCTCGAGGGAAATTCGACACGCCATATTTTCCACAAACGTCCAAGAACTTGGCAGAAACACACAAGAGGCTGGTGGCTCAAGACAGGCACCAGCGAACTGCGGTTGAAATAATAAATTATCGAAAAAGGACCACCCACAAGGCGGGCAATGAGAGCTATAACTAGCCCAAATGGCCTTTCTGGCACTAGCTGGACATTTATACTGCCAGCGATTATAAGGAAACCCTATAAAGAACGTTCGCTATCGCACTCAATGAAAGAAATTAACGATAACGCTACCGATTTTCTCCCTAAATTTATCACCCGCATTAGGCCAGCTGCGTCATTTGGACATAAAACACCACCTTCTAAACGAGTAAAGGTAAGCTATTTGAGGGCAGCTGCTCCGAAAATACGCTGAAATATACTATTTCAGGAGAAGCAGTGATCCAGCTGGAAAGAAAGCGGATAAGGTAATCAAAACTCTTACGTTCAGAGGAGGCCGGGTAGATACAGCCGGGTCAGGTCATCACGCCTTTACCGTCACATCCAACGTCCCAATAAGTTACATGCCAATTTCGGTCAGCAGCAAACGACCCTTCACATTAGGCGGGTCAGTGAGACCAGAGTGAGCCCAAAAAGTATCAGTGAGGATAGTTCATTTGATGAGGTAGAGTTCCGGTCATACATATTTCATTACTTGACTTCGTAAGCCTTTGATCGATTGAGCTAGATACATAAAAGTTTCAAGATGAATTTTCTATGACCCTGTCTGTCACTAAACAGCAAGCAATGAAAATGGTTAATGTTTCATGCATATCCAAGGTAAAATCGATCGCCTTTCTTTGGTCTAGCATTAGCCGATGTTAGGAGCGCATTTTGCTCAGTCTAGATTGATGTCGGCTACAAGGCTGTCTTATCTTCCCTCCTGGGACGATAGCTGAACAAATAAGCGCCGTTAACATTTATCATTAAAAAATTGATTTGAAAAGATGCTACGTATATTTTTCGCTCCAGTAGGACACAGATCAGCTCTACAAACTCAGAAATCAAAGGTAATAAACATCTGCTTTTTCATATCATAAATTCGATGCATGCATTACCAACACTGATAAATTAGTTAATAAAATGAATTACAACATCAAGGTTCAATTGATTAAAAGAGGCACAGAACACAGGAGTATTGTAACTGCTATAAAGTAAATATTTTAAAACTAAGCCCTAGCTAAGTGCATGTCCGTTCAACTTGACAGCAAAGGTCAATGTCAAACAGCATTTGAAATGGAACGCCACTCATGAAACGTTCATACGACAACTTCCATCCGTGTCCGAGGCGATTCCATTGCAGCACTAACAGCGCACGTGATAGGTACTCAAGGTAGCGCTGGTACCTACCACCTCACTACAATCGCCCGTGTGCCTGTGCCTATCCCACCCAAAGCTGTCCAAGTGGGCCATTGCTACACTACCGCGACCACGGTAGCAAACTGTAATGTAGGCCACCTAACGACTCCGCAATGTACCCAACGAACATTTGCATAGATCAAGAATGCCTGAAGACCGTCCACTGCAGGAGCAATGAGCAGTTTGCCGGGCTTAATGGCTCGGAGGCCCGTTCAAAGCGGGACATTACAGCGGTTACGGGTATCAATAGGCCGCGGCACGGTATGTCAGAGGCCGGTGGCCGATAGTTGAGCGGCACTTTACCGACGCTGCGGTGGACGCCGCTGTCCGCGACAACAGTGTCCTGGGGGGACGAAATGGGTCGAACATCACAAGGGACAACCGGATATACCAGCCCACGGGTGCTGTCGTCACAATAGGCCAAGCTGATCACCGGGGACAGAGAACAAAGACAGGTCCCGGACACAGAAATAACTAGGGAGTCCTGGCCAGTCATGTCAATTCATGGATGCATATTGCATAAACACATAATCCAGCACTGATGGACAGTGATGCCTGAACGCACAACTTGTTGATTCCTTTATATGCACCACTGTCACAGGCTTCCAAATGGTCGGATATATCAACCTATCCTCGGGAAACCCCCGTAGCATATGAACACAATTTCTATACTGGACACATCAGCCTCAAAGCCGGCACCATTCAGCTGAACGGAACTCTGAATTATCGGCGCTCAGAACCACAAAGTGCAGCCGGTGGGCCCGGCGCCGTTGGAAGCAGACTTTCCAGAGAGTTTTGCGATCAGCATAGGGCGTTCAGAGCACGTCCGTCCATCAATTCCAGTTGTACGTTCAGTGCCAGCCGCGAGCCGGTGGGAATGCCTTCGGAATCTTTGCAAAAGCCCCGACAAGCACCGAGTTCCATATACCATCGGAAACGGCGACGCAAAGCAATGCAACTCAAACCGGTAAAACATTAATACATTCTATTCACCACCTGAGCTGATTGTCGCTCGTATTACTGCCTTCTGGAACTAGGGAGCTGACAAGCTTGACATTTATCTGAACGAAGGCAAGAAGTCTGCATATACCGGCCATATCGGCTGGTGACTGATTACATACACTGTACGCGACTGACAGCTTTTATCCCAGCTTTACCCGGAGACAGCCACCCGCAGGACCTAAATCAGCTGTGAGCTATTTCAGTCAGAGCTGAGCTGGGACCTTGCCCAGTAAATCGAATGATTTTAACTCATAAAAAGATTGTTCCCAAGCCGGCAAAGTCCCGAGTACCGAGTTGTCATCGGGCTGTAGCAGGTATTGTCTCAACTGGGAGAAAAGTCGCGAGGAAACCCGACACAACCCAAAGCAAACAACGATGTTCCACGCCTAGAGACTGCTCCAAAGAACAGATGGGAGCAGGCTATTGATCGGGGATTGGGGCGGCGTGCTGGCGGGAAAAAGTTGAGCACACCCCGGAGCGTACACAGTCATAACGCAGCTCAGTAAAGTTGGTTTTACTCCGATTGCTGATTGAATAATTGATCGCCACATACTATGTTTGCGAACAAACATTTCCTTTAAAAAAAAAAAACTGAACTCAAATATTTCACCAAAAAAAGAACATTTTGAAGTGGTTACGATGCAAAGTGCCTTCAAAATATTTGTTCCCCTCTTGTTCACTTTCGCTCTGAAGTAGCGATTTTCAGTATTCCGTTCTCATTTCCTCCCCTGTCTACTCAAGCACCACGCACGCGCCACTCCCCGTCCCCGGCCCCTTCCCCACCATGCTCCTTCTCCCTTCCTCCCTCCCTCCCTCCCTCCCTCCCCTCGCTCCCTCTCCTCACCTTAGTGCGGCTCGTGGCCGGGCTGGCCGCTCCCCCGGCCGGCGCCGGTGGGGTCTGACCAGTACGGACGGGGATCCGTCCCCCGCGCGAGAGCCGGCGCTCATCCACGGGCCTCCCACCCGCGGCCGGGGAGCTGGCAGCTGCAGCAGCGGGCGGCGGCGGTTCCAGCAGCTGCTGCTCCTGCTTCTGTCGCCGCCGGTCCTCCGCATCGGCCTCCAGCAGCAGCGCCGGACGCGTCGGAGTGTCCATGGCCACCTGAAGACAGAGCGGGCCGTCAGGTCAGGTCAGGGGTTCGGTTATGTCAGATCAGGTCAGATCAGAAGTCCGTTCAGATGTCAGGGGTCCGGTTAGGTCAGGTCAACTCAGGTCAGAGGTCAGTCCTGTCAAGGTTTAATCAGTCAGGTAGGTCAGGCAACGGCTGGTCAGCTCAACAAGCACGCTGCATATAAGGACCCGGGAAAAGCATTACAGTCTGACACGAGATGTACACTAAACCGGCTGCTTCCTCCCATTGAAGTCAGGGAAAACAGAACAGTAAGCGGCGTACAATGACGCTATTTTTGGGTCAAAACTAAAACCATAACTTCGCGTTCATTGTGAAGCAGCGTACGAACTTTCGCGTTTGTAAACAACACACAAACTACGGTAGTTTGATGAGCGAGAATGCAAAATAACACGCTTTTTGTCACGTGGTTCAATAAAGCGGCACACTAACCGTCTGAAGCACGCGCCCGCTCTTCATTAGCCAATGTTACCGTTCACGCGATTGAATAAAAACAACAAATGAAAGCATGATTTACACGCACGTCGCCTATAAAATACCGTATTTCACACACGGACATATTGCATTGCCCTCTCTGTTGTGATACAACAGAGTGATACACTGTGATACAACAAACAATCTATCATTGGCTGAATGATAGCGCAATGAAAAGGCATTTCTAAAACAAATTGCTCATCATCTAATGAGGGATTGGAAATAGTATTCAGTATAAATCATTGCCGATAATGGCTAGGTAATCGAAACAGTGGGAAGGATTATCGATTTAGCCACCACGGACACGTTACAAAAGGAACGATAATGTCATGCAAACTATCACGTATCCTGGCGACATTTCAGGACAATTGAAATTAATGTAATATGACTGGCAGGGAGAGTTCTGAAGTAATCCTGAAACGTTGATTTCCCTTGAGCCCTGATCACAAATGTGTGCTCTTGACAACGTCAAATGGCTGTGTGAGTTTCTTTCCCGGAACTCGCAGACATCGGTTCCCTGAGCACAAAGTTCAGACGAGTTCATCATTTCTGCCGCGCCGAAATGTTTCAGCACCTGGCGCCGGCGCCGAATTGACCATCGGGCCATTCTGAGGCGCCGCCGCCGGTCATCTTTGAAACAAAGTCGTGCATATTCCCGCACCATCAGGCCTCTGGCGCTGTCACTGGCCATCGGGGAGCGTAACGCGACTCCGGAGCGCCCCTCACCGCGTCAGCGACGCTCCGGAGGTGGCAGTAACAGCGCGCCCCTCTCACAACTTGGCTCGTTGGGCTTCATACGGCCCGCGAGGAGCCGTTTCCGGCTGTCGGGGTCGCGTCCTGCCGTCCGACCCGCCAACCATCACACAATAGTTACCTCATGAGCCGGCGACACAAACCGGCCACCACCGAACAGTTAACCAGCCATCCCAATAGCCGCTCTATCCCGCGACATTTCCATGCATATCGTGGCGACCGTTCGACCCCGGTCCAACGGCCCAGCCAGCGTCAGAGCGACACGGGGCGATATACCATAACACTGCAGGCGTCACCTGACGGCACCGTGACACCGCAACCGGCCGCGTTTGTCGGCTCGATCCGATCAAGGGCGCAGTTCGGCTGCGGCGCCCAGCGCGGCTGCCGATCGCTCCAATGCAGATGGGAGACCGGCAATGGCCCATATCCCGGCTAGCCAGACGGGTGGCAGTGAGCCGGGAGCGTTCACAGCGCGGGACGAGCGGTCAGGGCCGTAAGGGTCAGGATGGATACAGCGTAATGGCGGCAAATGGCAGCCGGCGGCTGATTGTCAAATACATGATGGTGGTGGTAGAACGCTTAAAGACCAGCGAGCATGAATTGATAATGTCGCGCTGTCTGCGGCGAGCTGTCGTTATCAACTTCATTACTTGTCGTCAGCATCAAAGAGGTGTTACAGGGACACCATTTCATGTCTTATCACGGAAAATGAATACATGCTAACAGAATATGGACTGTGGAGGAAGCTACAAAACCGCAATCAATATCAAATCCATCACTACGTGCTGCGGTTATGCGATGAAACGCGCAACAAATAATGCACCAGTCTGGTAAGCGCTTTGACATAACGATGACATTTATCTGCTTTCCGCCAAGACAGCTCTGTCGGTAATATCGCGACACAACTTAACACTGCAACAAAATATTGCAAGACGATAACGTTCCCCAGCGATAACTTATCTGTCTTATCGTAAAAAAAATCAAATGCATAACATAGCCGGCATCTGTGAGCTTCTTCAAGATGATAAACAAGAGCATAACGTCTCCCATATTATTGGCAGTTGTCCGGATTCACAATGAGTAAAAACAGACTTTATTGCTCTGATCCGCCAGAAAACCTGCTCAGTTGGCAGCGCGGCCGGCTGGTCGGCACTGTCCTTTGTACTCGGGTACGTCTCCACGGCGACTTGGCTAACTGTTGCGCCAGGATCAATGGGCTACAGCCCTACACGGTGTGCCAGAGTCCCAACAAACTCGGGACACGAGTAGGGGCGTGACGATCCCATCAGCCGTGACGGCACCCATCAGCCGTGACGGCACCCATCAGCCGTGACGTCCGCGACGTGACGCTACAGACACGCGCCTCCACTAAACCAGACACAAACGGTGACGAAACACCCGCTCGGGAGAACTGACTGACCATCGGCCAGCGCCACGGACTAATCAGCAAATAGGCTGGGAGCATTGTCGTGTAGGCGTGACCAGGTTTTTCATAGGTCGAACCGGACTAGCAGCAGGCGAATGACGCAACTAGAGACAAGTTTGTCGCGTTTAATTGCGCTGCGTTTTAGACGTTTTTCACTTGGAAGCGCGCTAAGTGATGAAGTTGTTTTGGGATACCGCTACAAATACCCCAGTTTCACCCGTGGCGTAGGCTTAAGGAAAGACGAGACTGTTTATCACGCCAGCAAAGTTTATTGTGCTGCGCGGCCACACCTCACCGGACCACCGCCGGCCCACCGGAGAACGGCCTGCAGAGCCAATCCATTAAAGGGACTATCCCACCTTTAACATTGGCACCTTACTGGATCGGATGAGACTGTAAGATTCATTAGAACGGCGAGGCCCACAGCCATACACACATCGGCGCCGCAAACGCCCGTACGTACTCGGCGGCGGCATTGTGTGAACCCATGACTCATATGAAACACCCAGTGACACCTAGCGGCCGGCCAGACATTGCACTGACGTGGAAGTGACTACAGGCGGCGGCGCCCCACGAACTGCACCCTTCCCTTTGCTGACAAACCATCACAGAGGGACCATCTTTGTGCTGCCTGCCGACGATTGCAGATTGCCACTAGGCGCAAATAAGGTGGGTCGTATCCTGCATTTCCGCCGCCCTACCGACTGGCCCTAGGACAGGGCTGCGCGTCGGCCATTATTGTTCAGGCCAGAGCTCTCCAACGGCCGACAGTATCACCGACCGTATAAGCAGTTATGATCGTGCCGCATTCCAGGGAGTTACGACTTATGCTGCCACCAGACTGCTAGCCTCGCATCTTGTTGTGTTCATAGACCTGTCCACGTGCATGACCTAATGTCTCTGTGCACCCAAGGCCAAGCCACCCTGACGCCATCTTGGCGGGACCGATCAGCAATCGTGTGACCTCTGTCCAGCGATCGCGTGATCGTGACGTCAGCGGTAGGTGTGGACACCTCCAGCGCTAGTGGCGCCGCGGCGGCAGCGACAGCAACTGCTGGTAGCCACGTGGCCGCCAGTGGCGCAGGCGCGGGCGTGTCATTACGTAACCGTCATCTGCGCCGTGAGGCGGCCTGGGTGACTCACTCGCCGTGACGTCAGCTGACCGTGACCGTGGCGTAGCGACCTTTGGCCTTGCACCCGGACCGCAGGTCCGCAGCTGATCGGGGGTCGTCTTGCACCGGGTCTGCAGCGGGCCATCTGGACTGGAGTCAGGTCACTGCTGGCCGTATGCCACTCTGTGGGTGCAAGAATGTCTGCATGCTGCATTGCCGCCACGGGCATGTCCACTGATCGTCACACCTACACCGGAGGGCTGTTCACGGGCCCTGTGTGCGGTCGGACCGCACACAACCTCCAAGCTCCGCCCACTGCGTCCCTACGTCAGCCTTCCGTCACCGCACACAGCGATCGCTGTGGCCGGTCGGGACTGGCCACAGCGAACCGTCCACCGCACGCAGCCGTGACGTCAGAGCCGCGATCCGGCCAGGGCCACATGCGGAGGGCAGCGCGATCAGGTGCTGGCCTGCTCTCCTGGCACGCCCGACACAGGCTCCCGACACGCTCGATGACCTTGTCCATGAACGACTACCAGACGCCGCCTCTTGCTAGAGCCTTCATGCGACGTACCCCAGGTTGCGCCACGTGGAGCTCGGCCAAGATCGCTTTACGTGCCCTACTCGGAATAACGACTCGGTGCCCCACATGAGCACGACGCAGCATACGGACAATTCCAGCCGTTTACCAGCAAATGCAGACAGTTCCGAGTCCGTGCTGAGTGGCCAACCACCCTTTTGGACAAGACGCTTCACTCAGGACAGCATTGGATCCCGTGATGTCAGCACCGCTGTGAAAATTTGCTTGGCTCTGGAGACTTCGGGCAAGGATGCACACCTCATGTCCGGCAGCGGCCGTGCGGCAATGTAAGGTAGTGTAAGGTACTGAGAGACTTGTCCATCGACGCAGCCTGTATTCGGCCCCGGCACCGACTGACCGGCGCGGCTCACCGGCCGGTCGCGATCGGCCACCGTGTGCGCCAGCCGGCACCAAGTCCATACACATTGACACTCACCGGTCCGCTGGCCGTCGCACTTCCACGGCCCGTTGACTGGAAGTACACTCGGGGGCAGATTGATGTTCCATCACTCCCTACCCATCGGGCTCCCATGGCTCAGCACTGGCTGCTGCCAGTGGCAGCACTGGCAGCACTGGCACTGGCAGGCAGCTCTGAGCAGTGCTGAGGGCAGGCAACACTGGCAGTGC